TTTTTGCCGATTTTTGACACACCACGCCAAAAAGGTTGCCCATCACTGGTCTAGAGGCTGTGAGGCCAAGAAAGCTGTGAGGATGGAGGAAATTGGCTTTGGCTTAACCGAAGCAAGACTGAGCAACTGTGGGCTTTAGGGCCACAGAGATCTGTGGAATTGCCCTATTTAGTTCTGGACAGTTCATAGTTTAGCTCACTCCCCCAAAGAAAACTGATGTGCAGTGTGGGGTTTCTTTGTTTTGCATTCCCACCTCCTGCTTAAAGAGGAGATGTAGTCGTGAGGATGGGATGCTTTCCCTATCTCTTCTGCGAACCATGTCCTATACTGTTGGTCCCCCAGACAAAATTGTAGTTCTGTTCTCACAGTTCATCTAATTTTTTTTTAAAAAAATATGCTTGAATAATAATAGTACTGTACTGAGAGTCAAGTATTTAATAAAACTGTGAGCTTTTGGAAATACCCAGGCAACCTTGGCACAGAGAATGGATTGCATGAATTGGTTATCATGGCAACGGTGCATTTCAATTTCTTTTAAACTCCAGGGGAAAATATGACTTAGAATAACTTTATTGTCACTTTAAATGTACACTAATCGGCATACATTAAAATGACATTTTGTTGAATACAGCTCTCAAAGGGTCACCACCTCCAATATACACTACATAAACATGACAAAATAAATACAAAATTATGCCTATACCAACATATATTATGTGACACAGAGAAATAACACAGTCTAGTTCAGATGTATACATGTACATTGTGAGAAAAACAAATCTTGTAAGTTTAACAGATGGATGGGCATAGGGAACAAAGCTGTTACAGAATCTGATTGTCCTGCTAGAAATACCTTGAAACCTCGTCCCAGAGGGGAGCAACAGAAGCAGATCGTAAAGTGGATGTGTGGTGCTCTAACAATGCTTTGAGCTCCAAGCACATAGTGCTTATAAGAGTATCCTGAATAACGGGAAGTGAGTTTCCTATAATCTTCTTGGCTGTTTGTACCACTTTCTGTATGGACTTTCTATCTGAGGCACTGTTGCTACCAAACCAAACAGTGGTGCAGTTTGTTAAAACGCTCTCAATTGTGCCTGTGTAAAAAGTGGCCAAGACAGAAGGAGGAAGACGTGCTGTCCTCATCTGACGCAGGAAATATGAATACACCTATACATTTACTCAGTCTCTAAACCCCATAAATTAGAACCACGTGCTTTTGGGTGCTTGGCAAGAAATTACAAGCCTAAAATTCTCAGATTTTTTTTAAAAAATAGATTTATTTTTTTAAAAAAACAGGTTTTTAAAATACAGTTTTCTTGATCCAATAACAGGAGGATTCTTTTGAAGAGTACGAAAGGACTCTAAGCTCTGTGAGCAATTCCACATATTCAAATCCTTCCAATTTTAAGATGCAGTTCTCATTAATTGTTCGTTCCGTCTGTCATAAAAATCTGGCCATGCAAGGCAAAACTGCAGTCCAAAGGGAGCTTACTATAAATGAGCTGAGGAACAACAGTGTGCACGTGCGTAGCTTTCCAAGTTTACAGCTTCTAAAACTAAACTGGCAGATCATATTTTAAGCTACACAGTACCTTGGCCTTTCCAAGTCACTAAAAAAAATCTGAGGCCAGGAGTCAATGTATTGAAAGTTCATTAGGATGTTCCAAGAACACAGACAGACGCTTTGTACATTTTTACTTATTTCTATTTCTCTCTGTTAGTTTACCATGGCAGTGCATGCTAAAACTCTGCCAGGAACAGTTGCTAAAAGCTTACAAAGCATTAATAGATCTTGTGGGCAGAGAGATGGGAAGGGAAAAACAAGCTGGTTGAGATATTTGAAGTTTGCCTTTATATCAAAACATTTTTTTTCTCAGAAAGTTATGCATTTAATTAAAACATATGCAGGCAGCCACCAAGTCAGCTTTATATATGTGCCTCTGTATTAATTCAAATATCACTCTAGTTTTTCCAGTAGAAGATGTTGTAAATATGCAGGCTGCTGACTCTAAACATTTATAGACTTCACCTTGCTAGCTCTGATATGCTCAGTCTACATCTTTTTAACTGAGTGATACTCTATGACACATATACAAAAGGAATTACCTCAGCCTCTCCCCCAGCTAAAGAAAGGGAAGGCCTTCTCTGGCAGATTTTAATTTCTGGGGACTTTAGAAATATACCAAGATGACTACAAGTAGTCCTTGACTTACAACCACAATTGAGCTCAACATTTCTGTTGTTATGTGAGTTTTGCCCCATTTTATAACTCTTCTTGCCACCATTCTTAAGTGAATCATGGCAGTTGTTCAGTTAGTAACACAGTTCTGGCTTCCTCATTTACTTGCTTCAGTGCTGTTATAACTTCTAATGGTCACTAAACTAACTCTTGTAAGTTGAGAACTACCTGTACTTCAAGATATTCTTGAGATGGGACAGAATTCTGGCCAGTCAGAGTTACCCCAAGAATGTCACCATATCTAATGCCAGTGTCAACTCTGAAGAGAACCTGGCTGAAGCCATCTTTTGCAGCCTCATAGTTGCCATGAATCCAGAGAAGGGGATGGGAGGGGGGAAGTAGGTAGGCCAGCTAACAGTCAAAACAAAAAGTTTTATTGTGAGAACCAAGGTCATCTCAACGGTTCCACCACAAATCCGCGAAGCCCTTCTACGCGGAGACATAAGCGCGAAGACTAATTCGCGCCGTTCTAAGCGCTGAGGAAAAACGCAACCCTACTGCGATGACATAATCGGGGAGGGAAAAATCGCGCATTCCCAAGCACTCAGTACCCTAAACCTAACCCTAAACCTAACCCTAAACCTAACCCTAAACCTAACCCTAAACCTAACCCTAAACCTAACCCTAAAACAAACCCCTAAACCTAATCCTAACGCTTACCTTAAATGAAGTCGGCTTTCTGCCGCGGCGCCGTTTTAAAGTGCCCTTATGTTGCCGCGCTGTTGTCGCGTCGGTGATGACGCGCGGTGATGTCGCAGCTTTAGCGCCGCGATTTTATCGCCGCGATTTTGACCAGTGCGGTTTTGTCGTGCCACGCATCTCAAGAGGTGGCAATTGAAGGCGGACAGGAGTGACCAAGCAACCTGCCAGCTACTTTCATTGGACAATGTGATTGGTGACATCTGGGAGGGGAAACCTTAGTTCTTTTAAACTTAGTTCTTTTAAAGTTCCACAGGAACTTTTAGAGTTAGTTTTCACTGGCTGTGCCAATATGATGTATCCAATAAACATGTTCTTTAAGGAATCTACCTGCCTCAGAGTTCTGCTTTTGGCGGATGTGTTACTTGGAACGCTGGCAGCCAGCTGTACTACATGAATTACCAGCAACAGCAGAATAAGCACTACCTATGTCATCACCAAGAGACAGACAAGCCTCCAGAAATACAGTGCGGAGAAGGGGACATCTCAAAAAAGACCATCTTGAAAGCAAAGGTGAGTCCAATATAGAAAAACATTCTACTACTTTGCCTTAGAAATTGGATGAGGAAGGAAAGAATAAACATTACCCCCCCCCAAAAATGCAAAACAGCAAAAGGAAATAGAGTGAAGAGTTACAATGTATTTCTAAATCAGAAAATTACAAAGTAATTTACATGTTTTAATGCATGACACTGCTTTGCACCTTGGCAGACTGTTGACACATTTATCCCAGAACCATTTCTGCCAGCCTCCTGAAACATGATGCTATGCATTGACAGGGGACGATAGAAGTTGCAGCTTAGTATAGGTGAAAGAAACCCTTTCATCACAAAAACTTTCCCTCTTGCTCACTGAAAGATTTTATTTATTTATTTATTTGTAAAATTTATTGGCCACCCCTCTTACCTGAAGGTAACTCTGGGTGGTTTATACATGTACTTGCAAATGCAAGAACGGAGAGCGAAGCTAAATTCTGACACAAGTTGCTTCTGGGTCTTTACTTTTCCTACCTGGCTTCTGTAATGCTGGCGATATCCGTCCCTAGGAAGTGCGGTTTAGGGAGTGTGGTCACAAAGTGAAGATTTGAAGGATTAAAAATCCGAACAGTACCATCAGCACAGCCACAGAAGATGTAATCGTGGTTCAGGGAGATGCAGTTTGCCACAGTAGTCTGGGGACATAAGATATCAACATGAGCCACTACATAACACAACAAAGCATGAAAGAAAATAGTAGTCAAGAAAGAAGGGGAAAAACTGAAGGAAGATGAGATGGAATCACTAAACATTAGGGTTAAAAACTAAACTGGAGGTATTCTTCCATTAACTACCAGAACAGAACTGTTTCTGTAGGAGAACTATTATTATAAGCTCCCGTTTTCAATAATTAGATTAGTGTCTCTCAACTTTGGCAACTTTATGACCTGTGGACTTCAACTCCCAGAATTCCACAGGCAGAAGAGACAATCTGTGCCACTCGTCATCTATCCAAAACTGTATCAGCACTACACCAGAGTGAAATAACAGCCACTTCATAGAAACTCCGAAATTTGATCAATGGACACTGAGCATGCTCAGTGAGGAAAGAAGAGTGACTAGAAAAAAAGATTTGAAATGGAATGAACATGGCCGAATGACCAGGACAACAGCATTCAACAATAACACTAGGACACAGGGGTATGGATACTTCACTGAAAAAGATTTCCCTTGTATTAGGAATGGGAAGTAACACTATGTAAAGCAACTGAAGAAATAGACATAATTCCTGAGGAAGACTCAATCTCATTCCAGTTTTTAAATTCTACTGCAATGAGCACAATTGCAAAGAGGGGGGGAAAACCACGACAAATGGGAAGGGTGCTAAGGCAATGGCATGTCGGAAACAAGAGACATTAGAACTTACTGTGAAGCTGTCTGTGTTCTAAGTAAAAGAAAGAAGGGTGTTTTCAGTGTCAAAAGAAAAAGAAGGAAAAGAAAGAGAGAGAGAAAGAGAGAAAGAGAGAGAGAGAGAGAGAGAGAGAGAGAGAGAGAGAGAGAGAGCATTCAGTTTGAAGAGTAAGCAAGGACTTAG